CCCTCCAACACATAGCTATACGTCAAAGAATAATTGCCCAACAGTATAGTATCACCTCGGAGTTTTGGATATTTACCTGCTTTCCTTAACTCGCTTAAAAAAGGAATTAATTGTTTACGTCTTAATCTAGATCTTTTAATAAGGTCCTGTGAGATTTGAGTTTCTTTCCATACGTTCGACAGGTTTTGCTGTTTCATTTTTATAAAACTCGAATATATGTAATCTCTTATTTGAGTATTTTTAATAATTAATTTAATTGTTGGATACTGTGATTTAGTTATTGGAATAATCGCTATTATATCATCCATTGTAACTTCATGTAATTCTAATGATTCATTAATAAGATTAAACACTTCTAGCTTGGTAGGACTAGTTTTACTGGGATATCTATATAACATTATATTATTGCGATGTTGCGCATTAACCATATTGTCCATTCGATATTGCATACTTTCATTTTCTATTTTCAAATTAGCAATCTGTTGTTCAAGATTAATTATTTGGCTATTCATTTTTTGATTCTGATCTTTAGTTTCTTGAATACTATTACGAATCTGGTCCAGATCTTCTTTGATAATAGTCATTTGATTTAATATTCTCGTGTTAGAAACATTAATTAAATCAGAAATTTTATTCCATAGTGTTATACTTGATATATCAGATGAATTTTTTCCTGGTGAAGAAGATAAAAGATCAAATGGCTCACCTGATAGTTGTGAACTTAGAAGTGAAGTTTCAGGGTTCAAACCTGCATTTGCAGAGGTTGGTTCAGGAGAAGTTCTTTCAACGTATGAATTGTAATCAGTAATTAACCTGGAATTAGTGGTCGAAGCAGTTTCCTTTCCACTAGCCGATTTTGACCTTTGACGTGGTGGTCTTCCTCTTTTAGTTGGCGTGCGTTGCATATTAATTATGTTGATAAATTTTCCAACACTAATAATGTTAGCACACAGCACAAACAAAAAAATTTAACTAAAATTATTTGACAGGATACGTTCTATACCTGTATTTGAGGTGAGTAAAAAAACGCACCAGCAGCTTCGGCAGACAGAAGCTGCCCCCCAATTAAATGAATTATTGCAATTATTTATAATAAAATTATATTATTTGGTGATTGCTAGGGAAAAGCAATATTTTTCAATAACAGGCCACCAGTGACATGTCACCACATCCACTTGAATCAACCTTCAGAGGAGACTGTTGTGTATAATTTTCATGTGTTCACCAGCAATCATTCTCAGTGTGTAAATCTGCATCTGTAGGAATAATGCATGATAAAAAGTTTGAAGACAGTAACATAACATTTCACTGGAATATTTCAGCTAAAAGCAAATATCAATGCAGATGCCTAAATGGCAGTGGCGTGTCGTGACATTTGATGATAGGGAAGCTGTGTTTCTGTAAGAAGCTGACATCCAGGGGCAATCAGTCAAATGCGCGTCAGTGATGGTCTAGGGCAGGCATTCAAAGATACGGCCTGCAGGCCAGTCATGGCCTGCAAGACAATTTGTTGTGGCCTGCGATGTCACTTCAATAATGCTTTTTGTTTATTTTTTTATCTTGATACCAAAAAAATGTGATATTTCATACTTAAACAAATAATACTTAATAAATACAATTTTTGAACTCAATTATTATTGTTTTTATTTTTATTTATTCCTATTACTTAGAGATATTTATTTATTTGATTTATTAATTTCTTGTTTACATTACGTTTTCTCTATTTCCTCTTTTAAATTTCAAATTAAAGTCTGTTTTGGCAAGATCATTTATTGCAAAAGTTGCACTATTTTGCATATAAAATGGATGTTTTCGACATATTAGTAAATTAGTTTATGCTTGTATTTTCAGTCTTGCAATTTTTTTTTCCAGATCAGTTTACAGACCTGCTTCAGGCCTGTAAATTGGCCGAAAACATTTGTTCTGTGATTAAAATTATTGCTGGAAAAGTACAAATGCTGGTTTTCTTTTATTTTATTGTGAAATCTGGGTTATTAAAGACAAATTTTTTGAGTCGGCTACTCTTTAGAAAATTTTTGGCTACAAAAGCTAAAAACATCTGACCTGCTGTCATACTCAAAATAAAAAAATTGGCACTAAAGCAGTTTGAGTTTGACATCCCTGGTCTAGGGTCCATTTGTATCGTTTATTCGATAAGCCAGTAAAAACCGTAGACTTCTCTAAATGCATTTTTAATAACACAATTACATTCCGAATCACTTGCCACGATATAAAGACTACAATTAAAAATAAAATAAAAACTTACTTGGTGAAATAAAATGTGTAATGGATGTACCAGTACATAACTGGTACAAAATATTCTTCAATTGTATGAATATACTTTTAAAGAAAATTATAATTAAATATAGCTTTGTAAAGAAACATACATAAAAATATAAAATATTCTTTACTTTTTAAATCTTAAAACAATGCACTTAGTCAAATAGCTCCCTATGAGTGGCTAATGGATGGAATCTAAGATGGTTGCAGAGCGTGCATACACGCGGACTGCCAAATCCCCAGGGTGCCGATACTGGTCAATGTCAAATACCTCTTTTGTTGAATCACTAGTATATCTCAAAGGATGTGACAAGGCTGTTGTAGATTTTAAACATTTCTCATCATAGCTGTAAAAATCGAAATATGTTAAACTTAATAGATTGTCTGTCGTTTGTTTTCTAACTAATTCATTTTAGGACCAGGTGTCCACGGAAATTTCCAAAATTTACAACTTTTCGGTCATTCTCATTGAACTGGAAAAACTTCTGTCTTTATTACACTAATAATACAAAGAAATCAGTCTTCACTGTACTCAGCTAGAGATGGTTCAGTTAAGCTTTTATTTAAGTAAAATTTCGGCTCTTTCATCAGGGTTTTGTTTATGTCCTCAATTCCCTAATCGCTTAATTATTTAACTACTTCTCTACTTCTTAAGTAGAAATAAGTCGAAACCAGTTACTTTGTACTCGAATATTTGTAGTCTTGGGAAAAAGTGGAAAGACAAATTTTTATGACAAACGGATACATAAATCGTAAATTTAAGGAAAATAAATTCTAGTACTTTTTCTGTACTTCGTGCATCTCTCATTCATTAAATTTAGTTGTAAATTATGATACCAAAGTTACAGTTAATTTTTTAACATTATACAAGAATTGTGCCTGTTTTTTCTACATCCCCTTAAGGCTTAATTGTTTTTTTAATGGCAGTTTTTTATCAAATTTATTTCATGGTTCCTAAGTTGTAGCACACGGATTTTCCTTTGGTAAAGTTATTTAAAGCTGCTTTCTGATGTCAAAAACCACCTCCAATAGATTTTAATTAATAGATTTTATTATATACTTGTTGTCAGGGGATCAGAAATCGCAATTAAAATTTGAATTTTTTAAAAATATTTTAAAATATACGGCCAGATAGAACTCACCCTACTTTAAACCCTTGTCCTCCCGAGACTTCTATGAGAATGTCCCGGGAAATGGGACCCCAGCTGTGTAAACAATGACTCATCAGTGTCAAATTTCGCAGAAAGGCGAGACAAAGGAAAATAAAGTTTGAAGCTTTTTCTTCAAAATTAACACATTTCTTTCGTTTTTTTTTTCAGTTTTAAGTATTTTTGATGTTTAATTACATTAATATCAAAAATTGCTGGGAACTTAAGGCATTAAAGATGGGATATACAAAATCGTAATATCACTGGTTTAACATTGAAATCCGTGAGTAATATAAAATCGAAGAGCATAATAAAAATATCAAATATTTTAAATGGATTTTTTTTAACTTTTGTCAACTATACAGAACTATCATAAAAACATACAGGTAAATTCTTATTGGTTGGGTTAAGTTATAAATCTACTCGGGATTCACGTAATCGAGCGAGGGTGGCCAAATATCTAGTGGGTGGGCGGCTAACAGCCTGGAACCAGTCCTGGATAGAATTGAATGTGGTATATGTGTAGCAGCCACCCAAGGTCCTAGGCTTCCACCGGCTAAACCGGGTGAGGTTGGTACTCTGTATGCGCAAATCTGGCTTTTTGGGTGCTGACAATGCAGCATTTTCATTCTGCTACTCTGCCACTAATATTCGAATATACAATAGCAATCTTTTTTTTTTTCACGTGTAGTATAGAAATTTGTAATAAGATACATAATGCGGTTATAATAAAATATTGTGCGATTATTTTCATATAATTAAAATTAATATGTATTTATTTTTTTATAAAATACAAGGAAAGCGGCGCAACCACCGCTTCTAATGACAGCATGCCACTGCTAAATGACATCATTTCAATGCATATGATCACGGATAAGCAGTTGGATGGCTTAAGGCAGGCCAAAGTGTCAGTGAAGCTGTGACAGCAGTGGATATGTGAAAGAATGTGATTTCTCAATTAAATAAGTTACTAATCCAGAGGAACAGCCCTATGTATGCTTGGTGGTGGATGGAGAAGATGCAAAACAACCAAAAAGGATCAGTCTGCAGTTGTTTTAGCAAAAAGAACAGAACTGATTTAGCTGCATGGTTACTACCAACCTAGCAAGTGCTTCCATCGCTCAGGTATTCTCCTAAACTATAACACACTGACTGAATAACATTGGTCTATAAGCTTAGAACAGAATGTATGAAATGATTAACAGCTTAGGCATCTTGCCATTGTTGTGTCAGATTATAGTGAAGCATTATGACTGAAATATCAGAAATAATTTAAGGTGATGTTCTTAGACAAATTCAGTGTTCAATGATGCAAGTGATTTTTGGCATCAGTTGGTATGGCAGGATGGAGAACACAATACCAACAACAAAACACTTTGGAATTATGGTCCTGGTGTCATAGTTTGGGCAGGTATCATATTCAATGGCAGGATACCATTGAATATATTAACAACAGAGTCAGTCATGTGAGAGTGGTGATGTCATGTGATTCTGGAGGGTTGTGTTCATCTTTTCTGTGAAGTAATGGAACCGGACTTTGTGTTCACAAACAACAATGCTAGTCCATACAGGACTGCTCAACCTGCTGAAGTACTGGAGAATGGAATGGCATGCTTATTCCCTGGATTTCAAGTCAATAGAACATGCTTGGGAGACATTCAGAAGACGTAGTGAAGAAGAAACCTCATTCTTGGACTCTTGAGGACCTTAAACAACATTAAATTAAGAATGGACAACATTCTGACTACACTCCTGAACAATCTTGTGGAAATTGTGCATGGCTGTTCAAGGTGGTCATATACCATACTAATTCCATCAGATCTGTCATTATTCATATGAGCCAATACAGTCACTGTTATCATGCCATATGTACATTTTTTGCTTTTGTGGTCCAAGAGCCATATTCTGGTTGTTTATCTCTCATCTCTTATTTCAGAGACAAATGACAGCAAAATGAGAAAAGAAACTCATCTTCTGGAGACAAAAGTGACTCTGGTTGTAATGAATTTGGCTTTGTTGTTGATGTCACAGTTCTGTAAGGTTAATTATACATGTTTGGGTTATCTGCATGTGCAATGCAGTACAGATTTTTAACCAATAAAAATGTAAAATTTTTGAAAATGCAGAATACAAAATTATAGATCACATGGTAAGGAAAGCATGTAGTTTTGACAAAGGTATGTTATAGTTTTGTTTATAAAGTTTTTACAGATTGTAATGTCAAAATGTCTTGGGTAACATTATCTTTCAAACAGAAATTTTAATAACCTAAGTTAATTACGAAAGCATGCATACTTAGGTAAGAAGAAATTAGGTAATATTTTAAAATATACTTAGAGAGATGGATGGCTGGAAGTAACAGATATGATTTAACAGCATATTCAACTGTTCAATAATTGATGTAGAGTCACTTAAAAAAGATGAAGTCAGTTGTGTTCCCAAGTGACTGCTTTAAAAAAGATCAAAAGCATCATCTCTATCTTAAAATATTCTTTCCCCAGATGGAGAATGTTCTCCAATATGATTGTTTAGACCATATTGTCCAATTATTCATATTGCATATAGCAAAATTGAGGTTAAGAGATGAAAGACCAGTCAAAAGACATCTATCTGCTCATTTCTGGAAGATGAGAGAATCTTTAAGAGAAAAAATTGTCCAGAATTGAATTTGAGGAAAAGCAATGATCTTGAGATGTAGACAATGTCTCTCAAAGACAAGAGATGATGCCCAGAATATGGCCTTGTTCTTTTCCATAGCAAGGTATGCCTGTCATTTCACGTCAATAAATACATTATAAAAAAATTCTTTTTAATAAAAAGTAAAATACATGTGGATATGAGTCCAATTTTGCTTGCCATGTCCAATCACCAGGAACAACTATTTCCATTGCAAAGACAACCTTTCTTTAGAGGCTATGCCTCTGCAAAATAATTTAAAATGTCCTCAGGTGACAATCCAAACAAAATTAAAAATATTTCTTTGTAGAAATATTATATTTTTGCATAAATATTATATTATATTGTATTTTACATTTTATTAAATTGTAATTCTGCCAGCCCTTTTCTACAAAAAAAAAAATTCTTCTTATGATGTGATATACAGTTCTTCTTTGACTGGTGTCCACTACAAATTATGTCAAAAAAATGTGACAATTCCCTAGCAATTGTCCAGCAGTGTTATTAATTTTTTTCTATTGATTCACTGACAATAAACAGTGGATGCAATGGTATTTTGAAAATTATACTTTAAAAATGATAGGAAATTTACATCCTCCATAGATAAAGATTAGTGTGAAAATCACTTAAATATGTATCATTTTTAATGATGTGTACAGTACATATTTAAGTGACTTTTATGTATAAATTTATAAACATTAATATAAAATTCATCTTTGCTAATAAAACAACACATTATTCCAATAAATATATTAAAAATGAAAACAGATTACATTGTCTATCAAACATATAGTTGAAACTTTCACAAAACCAAAAATTTATCTTCTATCGTTTATTAATTCCTTACATTAATATATTCCCTGAAGGAAATAATCCTGTTTAATATTGTTTTGATAGTAGTAGTATACTTTTATCAAAACAATATTTCATCATTTCTGCAATTTATCATAATTCTTTCAAAAATATTTTTATCTATATATTTTTTATGAAATCTATATGTTCCCCCTTTCAGCCACTAATTAGTTTAATTTCACTGCAAAAAATTTTATTTTTCAATGCTTAATTCTCTAAAACCAATCTATTCCTTCCTATTCTTTTAATTCATGTCAAACTAAGTTTATTCAAAGCATAATTCAGATTTTGTTTTTTTTGTTCTAGCTATTATGAATATATAAAATAGCTTCTTTTATCTAGTTTACTCAAATTTTCATTTCTAATTCTATCAAAAATTATTGAAACCATTATTTCTTAATAATTTCTATTATTTAATATTAAATACAGTAAAACCTGTCTAAAATGGAACCTAAACAAAACAGAAAAAAAATTCTTCAGAATAGAGTGATTTTCTATGTCAAAAAACCTGTTTGAAGCAGAAACCTGCAAACCAGAAAACATTCAGTACTGTGTGATTCAAGTTTACACAGGTTTTACAGCAGTTAAAAGTTCAATACATGTTTGTTTTGAAACTGCGTATTAGGTAAGAGTTTTAAATAAAATCTCAGTTAAAATAAATGTTCAAGTTATATACGTGAGACCACTACTACAAATAATATATAAATTTTGTTCTATAAATCTTATGACAAAATTTAATAATAGCAAGTCAAGCAAGACTTTTTTAAATGTTGCCAGATTTTTTCAGATTCTTTTGATTTATCTTCAAATATTAATGTACTGGATTCTAGAAAACAATTTTCACAAATTTACAAATTGAAAAAAAATCTTGCTTAAATAAAATTTAAAAAAAGCTTATACTATATGCAACATACTTTCCATTTTTCTTTAGGAGGTGGATCCTTAAAACGATGAAACTGTACAATTTTGTTAGCATCTACATCCTCTTCCAATTCCCATGTACTTTCTTCATATGGCAAACCTCTCCATTTGACTAAATAATGTCTAGCAATTCTTTTCAATTTGTTTTCCTCACTATCTTGAACTTTTTCACTTTCTGCATTTTTATTCTCACTTTCTTCATTACTTTCATTCTTAACGTCTAATTTCTCACAAGCTTCGCTTTGTTCTTCTACATTAAAATCTGGTTTAGTATCCATAGTTAATTCTGAATCTGCTTTTATAGTTTCATTAGTATCAGTACTTCCTTCTTTTTCAATTAATGTACTTTCTATGAAATCTTTATTAATTTCTTTTACTTCTTCATTATTTTCTGAAGAATTTGAATTTTCTTTTTTGTCTTCAGTTATTGTCATATCTGATTCAAGAGTATTTGGCTGTATTAATTCAACTGTTTCAGAAACATCTAACACACGATCAACTTCAACATAATCGGGATTAAATGCTTCTTCTTCAAGCTGTAAAAATACATGAAATTTTCATATTAGAAACTTTGTTAAGCAAAAAGTTTTTAAATAAAATGCTTTATTTCTTTATCGCAATTATATGTCTACAACATAATTCTAAATTTATATAAAAATATAATTATAATAATAATTAAATAATTATACTCAAATAAAATTTAAATTATTTAGAGCAACTGTATTAACATAACATAAAGTTGATGATGTAAAAAAATGCAAAAATTCTTTATTTCAAAAATAAAAATAACACAGGCCTGCATTTTTTCAGTTGTATCATGTTTTTCAAGTTTTGGTGATGGACTCCTGTGTATTTTTGTGTGCTAAATCCAAAAATTACCTTAGTTTTTCTCCATCACGTCAGAATTTTTTCTAATCGCAATCTGTCAAAAGTGTCATATATCGAAAAAAATCAAAAATATAAGACGTAATGCCAGATTTAAATACATAGAAAATGCTGCCATCTGTCAGTTTACAATGAAAACAAGTCGTTCACATCATAAACCGGCAGATGGCAGTACTTTTGTCCTTAAACGTTTTGAATATATCAACTGTCAGTGTTGGCACAACTGTTGGTGCATATTGTTCGCGATCAAACGTGTTGGTGTCGGCAGATAGCTGTAGATGCTTGAAAGCTAACACACAGTGTTCAACATGGCACCAAGAGGCTGTAAAAAGTCTGCAGATTCCTTTTGTTACATTTGTGGTGAGTTAATGGTATCAAGGCAAAAAAGGAATATAACATAGTTCATGTGGCAAGTGTACCTCGCATATTTCAGTGTAAAAATAGGAGATCAAGACAAAACTTGGGCACCTCACTGTGTTTGCTATATGTTGTTGAAGGGCTGAGACCGTGGTTAAAGGGTGAACAACATGCTTTCAGATTCGGCGTTCCGATGATCTGGTGAAAGCCACAAAATCATACTGATGATTGTTACTTTTGTTCAACTAGTGTTCATGGTTTCAATGTAAAGAATAAAAAGATCATCTATCCAAATCTACCATTGGCTTTACATCCTGCCCTTTACGGTCCAGACATACCAGTGTCTATGCAACCAGAACATTTACCTGAAGTAGATGGTTCAGAAATTGAATCAAGTGAAGGAACCAAAGATAACTAAGAGGAGTAAGAACCTGGCAATTCTGCACCACAACCATTTACACAAAGTGAACTGAACGATTTGATTCGCACCTTACATCTGACCAAAGAGGCTTCAGAATTGCTTGGTTCAAAGCTTAAAGATAAGAATTTGCTCACAGCTGGCACTTCATTTTCCTGGTACAGGTACATTCTATATTAAAGAGGATGAAGACCCAGGACTACTCATAGGTATTGCTTGGGGGTGAAAAGAAGGAGAGAAAAGGATTTAAGTGAAGGGGTGAAGGGGAAAGAGTAAAGCGAGACAGGAAAGGGGATGAAAAGGGAAGTACCATGAGCGCCTGCATCAATTTATTTAAAAACAGATTATACAGAATATACAATGACAATGAAAACAACATGTATGTACAGTAATAATAATGTGTTGCGCGACAAAGTGATCAGTATAACAACAGCAAACAGAAAGATATACAATGATGTACCTTACATCAATACGAATACAGAATAATTTTTACAAACTGTGAAAGTCTGCATGACATGCAATTAAGATGTGATTGCAAAACACAAAAAACCACACCTCATGGTTAATGTTATGCTGGAATACAATAGGAAAGTGGTATGGAGTTACCTTACTCCTTAGTTGGTTGCGTATTTTGTCCTCCTGTCGGTCTTGTTTTTCTGGTTAACTTTTTTAATTCTTCTGTGTAACATGGGCAAGCTTTGTCCATAGCGTTGTGTCCATGGTTTTTGATTTTCTTATGCATGCAGTTAATGCAAGTTGCTGTTTCTGATTGCAGTTCTTGAATAAATGTCTCCCTCCGCAGTGACTACAAATGTTTTCCTTTGTCGAGCAATCGCGCATATAATGTCCAAATCCGAGGCATTTATAACAGCGTCTGGTACAGGTACAGAGAAAAAGATTTTATTCTATACTTTTTGGAGGAAGGAGACTTAGTATTCTGCAATGATGTGTGTGGACTGTTTAAGACAGTCAACATTCCGTATGAAAGCACTGATTGAAGACTATTCATTGATTCATTGAAACAAAGCCTTAAAGTTGTCCTGCTTCACAACGGAAACAGGTATGCTTCAATACCCATCCGGCATTCTGTACACTTAAAAGAACAATATGACAATTTACAATTTGTTCCCCAGAAAATTAAGTACGACAATTATAAGTGGATCATGTGTGGTGATCTCAAAGTAATATCGATGATCCTTGGACAGCAAGGCAGGTACACAAAGTTTCCATGTTTTTTATGTGAGTGGGATAGCAGAGACAAGGAAAATCATTGGAAAAAGAAAGAATGGCCACAATGACTTTCATTGTAACCTGGAGTAAAAAATGTGCTCAAAAAACCTCTCATCGAGTTGATGAAAGTTCTCCTTCCACCCCTATACATCAAATTAGGCTTGATGAAGCAATTTGTGAAAGCCTACCAAAAGATAGTAAATGTTTCTAGTACATTTGTAGCAAATTTCCAGCCTTGTCAACCGCAAAACTAAAAGGATATCTTTACGGGTCCAGACATTAGAAAACTTTGCAAAGATGGAAATTTTGAAAAAGAAATGAAAGTTGCTGAAAAAGAAGCCTGGGTTGCCTTTAAAAATGTGGTAACCAAGTTTCTGGGCAACAAGAAGGATTCTAATTTCAAGTCTATCGTTGAGATAATGCTGCAGAAGTATCAAAATTTAGGCTGTTCCATGAGTTTGAAGGTTCATTTCTTACATGCACATTTAGAATACTTTCCTGAAAATCTGGGCACAATTAGTGAAGAGATGTGCGAGAGATTTCATCAGGACATCAAAGGAATGGAAAAGCGTTACCAAGGCAGATGGAATACTACAATGATGGCGGACTACTGTTGGATGTTGCATCAAGATGATCCCAGAGCACATGCATGGAAAAGCCTGATACAGAGCATGGCTGGGACAAAGAGACATCAACTAAAATGGTGAGTGTTTTATTTTCTATTTTCTATATTCTATTATATTGTCTATTATAAGTTGTATTATAATATGTTTTATACAAAACAAACCTATTTCAGTTTGTCATTAAGTCTCATATTTGTGATATTTTTCATCATATACCACATTTGGAATATTGCAAATTGCAAAAAATTCTTACATGATGGAAATGAACTAAGGTCATTTTCGGGTTCACCGCACCAAGATACATAGGAATCAATCATCAAACGTTAAAAAACAGAACCTTCGCAGACTAGTGTTATTAATAGAAATTTGAATAAATTAATTTTTTAGCAATGACAGTTGCTATATATGGCAGGCAGGGCTGTTACGACAGGAAATTTCCCCAATTGCAGGAAATTTGGTTCCTTGAGGAAAAGTGCAGGTGTTTACAGATATTTTATGAAATAAAGAAAAAAATTATGATTTTTAAACAAAATCAGAAAAACATTCTATATAAAATTGTAAAAAAACTTTGTTCAATTAGATGCATAATGGAATAATTTAGATATTTCAGGGTTTATATGAATTTCTGTGTAGATGGAGTATGGTGAGAATTGGAGAAAAATTTGCTAGACTCAAACTGGAAATTATGGAGATCTAGTGGCAGCACTGACATAGAGTACTCTTTTTCTAAGAAAACTGTTAATATGCATATATGTTTTAATCACTGTCTTTAACTTAACCTGTAAGCTTCTACAAATCTTTTATTTGAATACATGTCATGAATATAAAACAAATCTGTTAAGTAAAATACTTACAAAATCAAAGAAATTGCTCAAATTCTCTCGTTTCTGCTTAAATCTTTTAATCTTTTGAGAAACTCTTTTATCATTTCTTTCTAATTCTTCTTGAGTTTTCCATTCACAATGCAAGTACGACCTAATTATTAAAATTAAATTGAATGTATTTGAAAAAATAGTAGAGTAATTCAAAATTGCAATTTATATATATATACATTGCCTAGTTATATAGCCTAGATATACCAATAATCTAGGCTATATAACTGACCACAACAATTTTTTTTTAAATATTACATGGTATATTTTATGAATAATAGCATTATATAAGTTTAGGGAATCAGTTATAACAAATGACTTAATGGAAATGGTGCCAAATCTATATTACCTATAATAAATTATGGCATCTGAATTGAACTGAAATCCAGATTACAACAATAATAAACTGACAATTTGCCACACAACATTCGTTTTTCCCATTTTAAATAAAAGTAAAAATGATGACTGTCACTTACTATTTGTGTACTAAATTACACTGTTGATTAATATGTTTGCTATATTGGACTTGTTATCAAGTTCAGCACTCTAATTAGATGCATTAAGTATGCAAATGCATATTCAATGCATTTAATTAATTACATAAGTTATATATGTAACTGCAATTGAATGATGTATTAATTATTAGAATTTGTATAATCATTGTAGATGTTTTAGCCTTGAATTAAATAACTTGATGTTATCTTACTCTGTGCTTTGTTTGACATTTAACACTTTTATAAATTTATATTATATAATGGATGCTATTGATGCAAATTGTTATTTCAGTATAGTAAAAAATATTATTAATTATGCATAAATATATTTCTCCATTATTTTTATGACAATTTTACTTCTATATGTGACTAATTCATAATCTAGACTTTGCTTAAATTTGTGACTAAAATTATGTCATAAATGATATATAGAAGCATTCTTTTAATGAAATTAAAAGAATTTAGGTTAATTATATAAATTATCTAGAGTATCTTTATTAGAAGTTTTAAATGCACATATGCCTTGGCAACTATGAACACTATAAACTTATTGTAAATGCACAAAATTAAAAAGAGCTTATAATCTTAAAAATTATAGAAAAAAATATATAGGTAATAATGAGTTTACAAATATATCAAGTTAAAATTAAATATATAACTAAAACAAAAAAAAAAAAAAGTTTTTCAATAAAGTGCTTATTAGTAGATCACAATAAACATATTAAACTGATTTTTAGAATATAAATCTAACTACTTGGTTCAGTATGTAATTTTTCAGTTTACAAATTTTATATTTGAAATGAATTTATTAAAAAAGCAAGTTTAAAATATATAAAACAGATATTTTATTTTTATAAACAAATTATTGAATAATAAAAATAAATACCATATTATTTTAAAAATAAAAACTCTACTGACAAATATTAAGTACAAAAAAAATAAAAAAAATATATAATTTTACCAACTAAGATAAAAACAAAAATTAATCCAAAAATATAGAATCAATAGACATTTCTCTCTCAAATAATAAGCTCAATATCTTAAGTAAAAAAATTACTCAGTGAGGTGCTTCATATAGTCACAGTGTCAAACTAAACAATGTACAGTAATCAAGACAAAATGCACAATGAAGATACAAAAGAAATTTTCACTTTATTTAAATTTTTCCTGATAAAAATTTTTTATATAATTCTTTAACATAAACTTAAATGCTATATATACAAATTCTTATGATTTGTATTGTTTTTATGTATAAAAATTACTCACAGACTCTTGTATTTCACAAAGAACTCTTCAATGTCAATAGATTCAGATGCTAACTGACTACCTTCTTCTTCACTAACATTTTCAGGCTAGAAGAAAATCAGTATATTTTAAATATATCTGTACAATATATAAAGATGTAAAAGTAATCTATCATGCTAAATGTTAATTCATTTTGGTAAACATAGTAGTATAAAATTAGCCTATACAATTTTTCCATTAGTATCCTATATTATAATATGAATAAAATTTAATAAACGAAAATTTGTTCAAAAATACTAAATACTGCAAGAATTAAAGTTTTCAGTATACATTAAAATATTTTTAAAATAAATACTTGTTTTGTATGTAAAGAATTTTTGCACCAGCAATTTTTCAAAATATCAAGTGTAATTGAGCAAAGAACATGCATTAAATTTTGTTTTCACAATAGAATTACTGCTACAAAAACATTGGAAATGTTGCAAAAAGCCTTTAATGACAATAATCCATCAAAAACAAGAGTTTTTAAGTGGCAAAAGATGTTCAAGAATGGCAGAGAACATGTCAAAGAGAAACAACATTCTGGCAGACAATCCACTTAAACTGATGAACAATGTTTTACTCAAGTTATAGATTTGATGCTCAATAATCATTGTTTAACAATTAGGGACTAGGGTTTCTCATCTCCTGGTCTTTTGCTTGTCCTGGGATTCCAGGAAAAAAGTGAATCGTTTCCTCAGATCCTGGGATATAATAAATTATTTTTAAAATATAAAAAATATCTTGAAATCAAATGATATAATTATTTTTCATTTTTTAAAGTATTTAATATGTTCTGCAACTTCCAAAATCATAATGCTGTGTAAAATATATATTAAAAATTACTTATAAATTACATAGAAATTTTCACAAATAGAGAAAATTTATTTGTTTGTTGGAAACTGCTTACAACTAAAATGCCTTTGAATTGAGTTGAAAATTTGAAGAAAAAATGAACTTAGATCAAACTTCTAACTTAGAAGGTAATTTTCATTTTTTAAATAAAACATAATACGAAATATTATTGTAAATTTTTATAATAAGATTTTAAAAAACAAAGATGGTTATACATTCCGACCGGGTCATGTGATCCGAGCTCGTAAAAGATGGTTAATACTCTGATCACTCAATTTGATTCTTATTTTATTAAAGAAAAGTCCTGCTAGTAAGAATGTCTTTTTTGATTCAATTAATGTGGATGGAATAGTCTTTAATGCATTTAAGAGGAAACGAATGTTATGTGTTTTTTCACCTGTAGCCTGGAAGATTTCTAGTTTGTTTTTGAGATGCGTTACAATACTTCTTTTGCCATCTAGTATTCTTGATTTGTGTACCTTGGCTATTTTAATTGCAGCACAAGCTTACATTCTGATAATCTGGCAGTTCGTTTGGCTTTAATAATCAGATTTATGAAGAAAAACTTCATACTTGTCTGTATCCTTGCCCAATCTGCACAACCTGGCATAATGCAGCTGTTGAAGCTTACTGGGCATGATTAAAAATTAAGACAGCATCAGCACAAGTATTTATGATATTACAAATTCTGACAGGTAAAGAATTTTCATAGTCCTGCCACAAATAGGCTACATATTGATTATTGACAATCTGTGACATGCCATAATAAGAAAAAATTTAAAAAACTAATAAGCAGGCTTAAAATTCATAAATACAAATGTATTCTGACAGTTTGTGAGTTATTTATACAGTAGAACCCCTCTAATCCATCACCTTTGGGACTGGGGGTATGGTCGGAATGCAAAAAAGGTTGGATTATCAGAAAAAAGTAAAATAAACAATCTTCCCTTTGTCCAGTCTTTGTAGCACTGCTAATTTTTCATTTAATGAAAGAGTAACATGTTTACATTTCATTCCTGACATGTGGAAAACACACACAAAACTGTACACGTACACACAATGTAAAACATATACTGTAACGAACACAGAAGAATGCCACGGACGGTGAGTCACTGACAAGTCGGGACAAGTTTCTCGACTCTGACCACAGTCAGATTAACTGGAGTGACGGACTAGCTGAGGGCAGACTAGAGTGGTTCTGTACTTTCTATTTGCAAAATTCCTCAATCTTAACACAAAATAAGAAAAAAGTAAATTTTTAAGAAATTTGCAAGATTTCCCAGGATACCGTTGGAAAAACCCTATTAGGGATATCATTGATCACATTCCAGTATCATTTGGATCTTGTTAAGAAATTTTAAAAGATCATTTGGGCTTGTGGCATGTTGCTTCTTGGGTCATGCCTAAAAAGTTGAAAAGTTTTTCCAAAAACAATTATGTTCAAGTAGCCAAGGAAATGCTTTATTGAGGTGAATTGTTCTTAAAATACATCTTTACAGATGATGAAACAGTTCTTTTAACACCAAAACAGTTCAACAATCAAGTGAAATGTGCTCAAAAGATGAAGCAAGACTCAACAGATCATGTCAAACAAACATCAAAATTGTGCTAACTGTTTTCTTCAATTGTGATGATGTGTATCACAAATTCCTAACAACTAGCCAAACTGCCAACAAAGAATATTATTTGAGTGTTTTATATCATTTGCTTGAAGCAATTCATAGACAACAATCTGATTTGTGGCAAGAAAACTCATGAATTTTGTACCATGATAATGCTTACAATGCTCTTGTGGTTCATGAATTTTTGGCCAAAATTTCAACAAATATGGTCCCACAAACTCCATATTCACCTGATATAACACTGTGTAACTTTTTCCTATTTCTTTGATTAAAATTTCCACTTTGTGATCACTGTTTTGAGTTGAGTGATACCATGAAACAAAATTTTCCGAGTTTTAAAGGGTTTCACAAAGAATGGCTTTAACTGTTTAAACACGAAGTCAACCTAAATCAACTGAATCCATTCAAGACGAAGTTGGCTGAACAAAAAGTTATTTTACTGGTTTTGTTTTACAAATAGTTTATGTTTTGTCTACTCCCTTCCTGCTTAGTTGAGTTCATTTTCATTTAAGGGTGACAATGAGTGTCAGTTGGTTATGGTTATAAAATCCTTGTTTTGTACATACTGTATATTTTTTATATAGATTAATTATTATTGTATTGTTGAATGAAATGTTATTTACACTTTTTTCTGACATCTTTTTGTTTATCATTTTTATATTAATCTTATTTTTTAATATATTATTTATCATTATAATGCAAATTACTTTATATCGTTAATTATGCTATATTCATTTTTGCATATATTTTAATATTTTTTACAATATTTTTAAATGATTTATGAAACGTTTTATTGAAACTTTTCTTATTTAATGAAAGGATTTTTTAATTTTAATAAATTTATAAAAGACATTATTATTTTTTAAGTAATCAAAAAAAGTAAATTTTCTATAATAAATATTATTTATTATGTTTTAATTATATGTATAAACTTTAGCAATTTTTAAATTTGTATTTGAAAAAAAAACCACATTAACAGCTATAATAAACATCAATATAATTGTATTTAAAATGCAACATAAATATTTGTTTTAAAAGATTAATAAAAAAAGAAAAAACCAGTAGTACATAGCATATAATTTAAATCATCATACTCATATTTTCTTCATGATATGGTCCAAAACAGCTTGCACATAAGCAAATGTTACAAAATATGCATTCGAACGTACTTTCTACATATCTGTTGACTTTGTTCATTTGTTATTACATTGGCACTGTATGCAAACCTACATTTGTCACGTTTATTGGAGCTGGAATATCGCTTGTTCTACCTTATATTTTTTTACGAAAAAAATTCTTTGAAAGTTTGTCTATAAGATTTAATCTAAATTGAATTGGCATTAAAAACTGTTTATTCGCTGGATTCTTAGTTAATTTATATAAACTGTTTTGTACAGCAGTATCCAGATACAACCAAAATAAGTTGAACCACCATTTGACAGATTTTCTTGCTATTGAATAATATTTTTGATTTTGATCAGCAAAGTCCACATCTCCCATATTTTTATTATAATTTCAAACTGCATGGACATTGTATCTCATTGACTGTTGCTCCTGTCGTCTTTTGGTGTTCACTATCATCATTTTTTCGTTTGTTGATGCTATATTATTTAGTTTTTTTGTGATGCCAAGTCACACATAGCAAATTTCTTCTTTCAACACACTGCTGAACAATGATATCATGTTTGTTTGTTTTCAAAGTTTTCAGACCAGATGGTAGATACTTTTTATTTACTAGTACTGTACCACATGCATAATTTTTTTCTTTAGCAAATCAAGTAACAGTGGTATGTTGGTAAAAAATTGGTCAAAATACAAGTTATTGGTTAATATTGGTTACACAGAACTTCAGCTAAATGCATAACATCATATGCAAGCCTCCTGACTCCATGGAAATTGCTAATTCACATAATAATTTTATCCTAAATAAAAGATATCTGAGATTCTGACAATTTTCTTTAAGAATCATACACAGTAAATCATTTAATCTCAAATTCCTCCTTAAGTTGAACTGGATTGTTGGTCCTAGCAAAAACATTATATAACGTATTTTTCTATTCCTAAATAAACAATTTTCTTTCTCATTAAGTCAAACTCAATAATTTCTGGCCAGCCTATTATCTTTGCAAATCTTTTCAGTACATTGGTAAAGTGGCTTTAATGCAGCTAAATAAGTAAGCCAGTGACAATCTGCTTCAAATAAAACAGACTGTCAATCTCTTGCTTATCCAGCTGTATTAAAGCCACTTACCAGAAAAGACACCCATTGTTCATGAGCAGGTTGCCAGTTGTGGAAAAATCAACCAGATCTAATGAAATACTGAAAATTGATGTAATGTATCATACAAAATTTTATTTCTGAATAAGTTCAGTGTAGCATATAAAAGAAATTTTGTGATATATCTAAATTCATGATACTTATTTAAATTATTATTACAGTCTGATGTTCTAATAATGATTTAAATAAATATTATGGTTGTGGTATAACACAGATTTAAATCCCTTATTCTAGTGCTTTGCACTTTGTGTCTGAATAAAAATCTTTCTATTTTTCATACAGCTCCATATGAAGCAACTCAAACTAGCCATTTTTTCGTCCCTTCAAATTTCAGATTTTGAGATTTTACTATGTTTAAATTTTACATATGAAATTTTTATTTAAATATGTTCAAATAATAATCATAACAGAATATTTTTTATTTTAATAATCTGTTCTGTTCAGATTTGTTGAAATTAAATATTAATTTTCTAGTTATTTGTCCTAAAAATAATTCGTGAGATGCAAAAATATTTGAATTGATCGTACTACATTAAAAACTCTAATTAAAACACAATTGATAAACTATATCTATTTTCTATATTTAAATTCAAATGTCTAAAATACATTTATATTTGTATTTTCATTAAATTTCGTTAAAGAATTACCATGTATGCTGGCATATAAGTCAACCTATGGTTTTGAAAAGTTTTTCCAGATCATAATGATGTTTATCAGATTTATTTAAATATATTAATTTCTTGTTATTATTTAGATTATCAAAGTGAAAATAAATTGTTATATTTACCTCTTTTTGAATTGTCCGTATTCTCATAGAGAGAATTTTTTCTACTACCATAAAATCTTCAACATTGATATCCTAAAATTTAAAGAACTCCTATTAATGTAAATATATTTAATAAATACTTAAAATATATAACATTTAAAAATTTTTTACAATCTGATTTCATTAATTTCATCATCAACATTAATTGATTCATACTAATTTTTGATGAGGGATTACAAATAAAGAGGCACTAATTAAAATAAGTATTTTTTGAATATTTTAATAAGTTACCATCATAACTTGAACTGCTTTTCCTTCTGTGCTTTGCTTAATTGCCCTTTCAACATCTGAATCATTTCCATCATCATCAGTTAAATGCAAATCAATATCATCTGTATATTTCTTTCTCTTTGTATTTCTAGCTGAACGACGTTTCTGGTTAGAAAACAAATTGTTAGAAATGTAAACATTTCAAATTGTCCACCATTAATTTCCTATATTACTGTAATATGTTAGATAACTTAATTAATATACTGTAAATAGTTTGTTATACAAAATTTATATTTTTATTATATACTTTATTATACTTAATTTATATACTGTAAATAGTGTAATGTAATATACTGTATATACTGTAATGTAAAATTTGTTATACAAAATTTATATTTTGTATAACAAATTTATTATATAAAATAATTTTTAAAGTAATTTTTACTTTTTATGAAAAAAAACTCTTCTTTCTATTCAATACATTACTTTTTTAGCTTTATTTTTTTGCATTTTTTTAGCACAGTGACACTATTTGCCTGTTTTGTTTAGCCACTATTTCAAGATACTAAAAAAATAATGACAATACACTGAGTACATCCTTTTATTGAAAGTATTTTTTTATGTATTTATTTTATTTTATTTTTTTGTATTTATTAACTAGTACAGTAGAACCTCGAAAACTCAGCCTAATGTGGACCGAAGGGTGGCCGAGTTTGTGAAAATGCCGGGTTATCGGAAATGGGGTTAAAAAAAATAAGTACGAGTGTTTCCTCAGAAAATACTGTACTGTACTTGTATGTATTGTTTACTTGAAAATATAACAGAGAATAAACTGCCCAAATACCCTTAAACAAAGGAAAAGTACGTCCTTTATGAAGGCATAGAGCCTTTACTACATGAAAATGAAAATTAATGAATACACTGTGTACAGTGATTTACCTGATAAGACAGACCCCAGAAAAATACTTTATGAGAGCTTTTATACTTTTATAAAGCTGTCTATAATGGAAATTAATTAACTAAGGATTTTTTTGCCCTGCCAGGGTGTGGCCGAGTTATCTGGAGTGCCGGGTTATCGAGAGCCGAGTTTTCGAGGTTCTACTATAATTGTTAATTTACTATAAATTAACAATTACTAGTTAAATAATGAAAGCTCATAATATGGATTTAACCAATTACATTGTTTTTTTACACAAGATATTAGACTAAATTGTATAAAGTGTTGGAAAAACAAATAAATCAAACAATTTAATGGTAAGCAAGATGCAAACACACACTCTTAAAAGAACAATAGTTCTAAAGCCAATCAGACTATTTCGAAGCATATAAATGATCTTTAGAGAGATAAAATAATTATAGATTCCCAAACATAAAAATAGCTTGAATAAGTTGAAAGCCTCTAACAAATACCTCTTCTTTTTATCATTTTACAACTACATTAGTACTTTTTAAATAATGTTTTCTGAAATCTACACATTGAAGACAATGAAAATAACAGATTTTATGCTTGAAAACACATTTACAAAAACGTACATTGATCAATCTCTTTTGTAAATAAATACAGATTGAACAGTTTGACTATATACAATTCATAATCTGACCAAGATGATTTATTTCTTGTTTTCAGTTGCTTGTTATCTAGTGTTCAATACTTGTTTTGTATCAATCTAATTATTCTCAGTTTGCTTGCTCCATGCTGACTGGCAAAGCTTTGAAAAAAAAAAAAATGCAAGGAAACACTTTAATAAATTAAAACTGCTAAGAACTTTTAAATTTACTGCTAAGGTTCAAAACAGGATCATTAATGTGTGTGGTGCTAATTCTCATCCTACTTTAGAAAACAGCTATAAAAAAGAAATTCAACTAGCAATATTTTCAAGTAAGAAGACTATTATTTAAATATCATAAAATGTTGAAAATCTATTAGAGAAGCAATTAACTGTACATATTTTACTTTTATTATTATTATTATTTTGGGTTTTGTGAGTTATACTTAATTGACACTGATGACTAGTCTACTATGCTAGACCACAGTTAAGGCATAGTAACCAAAACAGAAATTAAAAAACTGTCAGTGTGTGTGTCTGTATTCAGAATTTCCTAACAATATGACATGTATTCAATGTAGTGGCCTTCTGTAGTGTAATGTATGTACAGGTAACCCCCGTATAACACGGGAGTTATGTTCCAAAAAATTGCCGTGTTATGTAAATCCGTGTTATACGAAACAAAGAACTAGTATAAAAAGGGGGGGTTAGGTTCCAAAAATTAAAAAACATGCTATTATATTTTCATAATTAAGATAAATATCTTTATTAAAATTTTCTTAAGCAATACATATTAATATAAATTAAACAATGTTTTCTTCATCATCACTAAGCACTATTAACCGAGGGTGTTTTCTTTTTTTCAAGATATCCTTATCCTCTGAGCATTTTTCTGCATTATCTTCAGATCCATGCTCTACCTTTTGCAAAAAATATATTTTAGATTGCTTGCTTTTAGTTAAAAGATCTTCATAAATTTCATTATATGGTGCTAAGCACTTATGAAGAATAAAGCAAGTATTGAATAAAGGAAGACATCTGGTAAGACAAAATCAGAAGCGTTGAGATCTGGCAACACTGAAACAAGTTTCGAGAAGGATTACGTGTATCAACAGAAGGCAGAAAAGAAAATTTACATACTTAAGTACTAATAGCTCACAAAAATAATAATTTTCGTGAACTATTAGTACTTAAGTATGTAAATTTTCTTTGTGAGTGTTTGGAACAGATATGTCTATCATATATATGATTTTATTGTGTTTGTCAATGAGTGTGATGTCTGGTCTGTTGTGGTAAATTGTTTTATCTGTGATTATGGCTCTGTCGTAGTACATTTTGTGCGTGTTGTTTTCCAATACTGTCTGTGGAATGTATTTGTAGTATGGTTCGTGAATGTCTACCAGTTTGTGTTTCTTTGCAAGCTCTTGGTGTATTATATTTGCTACTTGATTGTGTCTGTGTAAATAATCTGTCTGTGCCAAGAGCTTGCAACCAGAAGTGATGTGTTGTATAGTTTCTGGCATGATGTGACATTTTCTGCATGTGTCATTTGTGAGTGTTGTATCTTTGAGTATGTGTTTTCTGTAGTTTTTAGTATTTATGACCTGATCCTGTATGGCAATCATGAATCCTTCCGTCTCCCCAAAGAGGCATCCCCGATCTAACCAGCTGTTTGACGCAGTTTTGTCAACAAAATCCTGGGCCAGGTCGTAAGGATGCCTGCCATGGAGAGCCTTTTGAGCCCATGATTGCTTAATGTTGTCTATGCTTTTTATATGTTGTGTCATGTCTGTATGTTGTGAGTGTAAGTTTAATGGTGTGTTATTTGAGTCTGCTAGAGTTACTGCTTTATGTAACTGTGATGTTTCTTGTTTCTTGTAGAAAAACTCTCGCAGTGACTGTATTTGTTTGTAGTGAAGGTTAACTATGTCAATCAGGCCACGTCCGCCTTCTTTACGTGGAAGGGTTAATCTTTCTGTGGCGGATTTAGGATGATGTTGTTTATGCTTAGTAAGTGTTGTTCTTGTTTTCCTTTGGAGTTGCTCGAGATCTGTGTGAGTCCAATGTATAACTCCAAAAGAGTATGTGAGTACTGGGATGACATATGTGTTTATTGCTTTAACTGTGTGTTTTGCATTTAACTGTGTTCTAAGTATAGCGTTTAACCTACTTTGGTATTCTTTAATTAATCGTTGCTTTATTTGTGTATGTTCTGTTAGTTTGGCCTGTTGGAATCCTAAGTACTTGTAGAACTCGCCCTCTTCCATGGATTCAATAACGTCTCCATTTCCAAGTGCAAAATCTTCTTTCTTCAGGATTCCTTTTTCTATGTGAAGTTTTTTGCATTTGTCTAGGCCAAACTCCATTTGTATGTCCTTAGTGTATGAATGTGTGATTTGTAGGAGTTGATGAAGTTGTTTTTGTGTGGATGCATAAAGTTTTATGTCGTCCATGTACATGAGATGTGAGAGTGTAAACTGTGTTGTTTTTTCGTGTCTGATATTGTAGCCGTATTGCGTGTTGTTTAACATGTTGGATAATGGATTCAGGGCTAGGCAGAACCAGAGAGGACTCAAGGAATCTCCTTGAAAAATTCCTCGCCTAATGAATATTTCGTTTGTTTGTATGGAAGTGTTACTAACCCTGAGATGTAGTGTTGTTCTCCAGTGCTGCATAGTGTTTTCGAAGAATGCAATGAGTGATGGATGTATTTTGTACATGTGTAGAATATGTAGCAGCCAACTGTGTGGAACACTGTCGAATGCTTTTCTGTAGTCTATATATGCCATGTGTATGTTTCTGTGTTGTTTGTGTGCTTGCCGTAGAATGACTGAATCTATGAGTAACTGTTCTTTGCATCCCCTGTGATTTCTACGGCAACCTTTTTGTTGTTCTGTAAGAATGTCGTGTTCTTCTACGTGTTTGTATATTTTGTTTGTGATACAGGCTGTCAATAATTTGTAGTGTTAGAAGACATGTAATCGGTCTGTATTGTGTGGGGTCTGTGATATTGTTGTTTTTAGGTTTCATGTAGGTAATGCCCTGAGTAAGAAATTGTGGCATGTCTTGTGGATTGATGATGATGTGTGTTAGACATTTAGCTAGTTCCTGGTGCAGTGATGTAAATTTTTTGTACCAGAAATTGTAAATGTTGTCTACACCAGGTGTCTTCCAGTTGTGTGTTCTGTTCACAGTGTAGTTAGTGGATGTCATGTACATTTATTTCAGCACAGGGCATAGTTGGTATGTTCTGCAAGTTTCTGTTCTCCTCCTTGAAGCACTGGACCAAAGAGATGACCAATAAGTTGTGAGTTCTTCTTCTGTTGGTGTGCCACTGTGCTGTGTATCAGTGTTTGTTTTGGTACTGATTTGTCTGTAGAAAAGTTTTTTCATTGTTTGTGAATAATTTATTTTGTTGTTTTCGTAGTGTACATGTTTTGTATCATTTGAGTCTACGTGCTTTGGCTGCAAGTTTCTGTTCAACGTATTCTGTAATGTGTGTGTTTTGATTTTCTTGAAAATGTTTTTGAGTTGTTTCTTTAATTTCGGTGTTATGTTGTTTTTAGTGTATTGTGTCAGCCTGCCTAATTGTTGTCTAATGTCATTTATTTGTGTTTCTATTCTTCTCTGCCAGGCAGGCTTGTGATAGAATTGTGTTTTGTGTGTGTTTGTCTGCAATTGTATTTTCAGTCCATGGTGTGTTACTACTGTGACTGCCCCAGCATAAACTAATGTATGAATGTCTGAGAGTGTAGAAATTAAATGGATGTAGTTTGGTAGTAAGTGAGTGTTTACATAATCTAGTGTTTTTCCTACTGCCTTTGACGTGTTGATTTTTGGTATTCGTGGTCTTTGTGTGGGATCTGTACCAGTATATTTAATGAGTGTTTCCTGAAATATAAGCGAGAGTGTATTAACTAAATCTATGTCAATGTTATCAGCGATAAATGAGGAAGTGTCTGTAGTATCATTAGTGGTAGTTATTGTATGGGTGCTATTATCAATGCTTGTTGCTGGATTATCCTGACAGTTTACACCAGTGTTTCTCAACCTCTAACGAATCGTCGCCCCCTTCAACGTAGTATCGCCCCTTCAATAAAACCGTTACGTAGTATCACCCCCTTCACTTCAAAATTCGATGCCCAGGGCCAAGGCTAACGCCAAATTCGTACTGCATTGAATAGACTAGTGACTAGTATAACTATATTTGTTTAATTATTGTACGATATAAAAAATAAAATATCTAATTATTCTTAATATAATGTTTTACTATATCGCCCAGAAAATTGTTTTTCGCCCCCCAAAATATAAATTGTTACTAATCGCCCCCTCAACATGGAAAAACGCCCACATGGGGCGATATCGCCCCCGTTGAGAAACACTGGTTTACACGATCTTCATTAATATTAAATGTTTCTGTCTATTGATATATTTGATCAGCAACCTGTTATTTGATAAGTTCAAGTGTTGTTTGTGGGATAAGGTGGTTTTGTATAATTGTTCTTTTTTAATTGACAACCCTTTGTTCGGTGACAGTGAGGTGAGGATATTGTTGTGTGAATCTACGGTGTAGTTGCTGTCTGTATGCTGTCATGTTTGTTTCGAGTCTTGTGATGGTGTAGTAAGTACAGATGATAAAAGTCATTCATTTCTATCGTCCATTTCATCCGTTGGTATGGTTTTCCATCCTTTGTGGTCTGTGGATGCATTGCCACAGAAACATCAAGGTTGGGTTGGTTCCTCACATCTGTTGAGGGCATTGCAGTAGCCATGCTTGGGCCGGCACGGCTTTTGCCACCAATAAGCAAGGGAAACTGTGACCTATTTTTCGAACGTGAGCCTCTGCCTAATCCACGAAAACAGACGTCGTTTACCCAGGTGACATCCAAGCTAGTATCATACTTAGATCTGTTACTACCATGATAAATATCACCACAGAATGTGGGTGTGATTACTCTTAGCTTCATTTATCCCCATAGATCTTACTGGCATGGGTGTCCCTACCAAGAGCTTGTGCTCCAGTCTATATTGCCCATGGATCAGTAAAATTACTGGGCTTTCCTACCATGACCAGATGGTGACCATGGGAAAGTTTTATTATTAAATGTTCCACAATAATACGAGCTGTTTGACCCAGTTTTATCAACAAAATCCTTCTGAACCCATGACTGCTTAATGGTGTCTATGCTTTTCATATATTTTGTTGTGTCCATAATTTGTAAGTGTAAATTTAATGGTGTGCTATTTGAGTCTATTAGAGTTACTGCTTTATGTAACTGTGATGCTTCTTGCTTTTTGTAGAAAAACTCTCACAGTGACTGTATTTGTTTGTAGTGAAGGTTAACTATGNTAGTAGTAGAAAACAAAAAACATATAAGTATTATATATAAATTTCAATATATGTTTGAAAAACATTTTAAGATTTTGAACTCAATATAGTTTAGTTTATAATATGTATTATTTCATATGTTAAGTGATAATTTCTGCTGAATTAACATGTTAAAACAAAATCATAAAACCAAATACAACTTTAAAGTTTTATGATTGCATTCTCTAAAAAACAATTTTTAAAATATTATGTTTTAACAACTATACATACAAATAACTAATTCTGTAAACAAGGTGCTAATGGATGTCTGGAAAAAATCCACACAAGTTTGTGTAATTTAGTTTTTACCAAGGGAGAAAAACTATAAACTAAATAGTTATTTGAAAGGCAATGAAAGCCTGTACATGATCTTTTATTTTTGTAATTCTACAAGTCCCATTGTTGAACATGGTTGATTCAACTTCAGGTGTCAATGTAAGTTTATATACAAGACATTGGTTCCCATTTTTCAGACTAGACTTTGTGAGATTGATGTATTTTGCCTTCCATCCTTTTTTTATAAATAGCTTCCTTGAGTACTGCTCCAAAATCCTCAATTGGCCTAATTTCTAGCACATTTGCATGGTTGTCCTCCTTTTTGACAAAGGTAAACTGTCAAAAAGGTCACTTTTTGACAGTTTACCTTTTTGTCACTTGTAATCCAATATAGTTTTGTCATAGTGGGAATGTGCTTGATCTAGCCAGAAGACATTCTTCTTAAGACTAATTCTTTTGAGTGTAAGGAAGCAGGCAATGCCATATATATATTCATTTAAATATTGCTGGACATGATAGTAAACTTTGCTTTTCTAATTTGGGCTTAACTCAGTCCCTTTAGTTCCAATGTAATCCAAACAAAAACTTTTTCAAATTTCTTTTTCTTGAAAACTTAATATTAACAGTCTAGAGAAGATATAACTGGTACAAAATCCACCGTTACTACTGATCATCAAGTTTGAGAGAATTGAGAAAAATTCATCATTCAAAATAAAACTTTTCAGATAAGTTTTGCAATAACCTTCTATACTTTGTCTTTGCCAGTGACCTCTGCATATCTGTTCTGTCTGGAATTATATGCTTCTTTCAATATTTAATGTGTTTTTGTCAACTACCTAAAATTTTCATTTTTGGGATTATGAATCAAATTAAAACCTTGTCACTGTCTTCAAAGATTTTCTTCAATCCTTCTAACTTGGCTTTTGTTAGAATTTCACTTTTTTACCAGATCCTTTCTTCTCTGTGACAATAATCCACTCTTGAACCATTGGAGAATGCAACATACAGGCTAGTCCATTTTCAAATTTCTTCATTTGTAAAATGGTTTATAGTAAACTTTTTTCCTAATGTTTTATTTAATGTGTAAAATTTGTACACTCAGGCATCTTCCTTTCATTGTCATTTTAAAACAGGCAGAAAATCAAATATAGAAAAGAATTCTAGAATATTTTATAGCAGTTTATCTACTTCAAATTATAGCACTTGCAAGATAATTAAAAATTATTAGCTGTTAGCTAAAGCCTGAGATATTTTGTGTAGATTTCTTCCATTGTCTAAGTATACAATTGCTTAAGATTTTGGTTAAGTTTCATGAAAGTAGTTCAGAAATCTTGACTCTTAATATTTGAAGGTTTCAATAGAATAATTGTATAAAACTTCACTTTGGTTAGAATAACTAAGGAATAATCCTGAAATTTTCACAACTATTTACATACAAAAAACTAATCAATTATTTTTTCATTTCAAATTTGTAGAATATTTATTCAACTGTAACTACAAACTATAGTCTAAATATGTTAGCTTATTAATGATCTGTTAGGGTTTTTCCCCCTCCCATTTATATCTTCCGGAAAGTTCTAAATTATTAGTTCATTCTAATTATTAAATGAAAAGCTTAGCCTAACAATATAGATGAAAATATTTACATCTTATATATAATTTAAAAATATACAAGAAATTTATATTTTTATGAATAAATCATCATTTTCTATTAACAGTTATTTTAGATTCAAAATGAAAATTAAAATAACATTCCAGTATTCCTGAAATGAAGACCTTTTGAGTAGGTAGAAAAGTTAGATGATGTTAGTTTTAACAAATGCTGGATTGCTTTGACAGGATAGTGAGAATTTTTGTAATTCATTTTCATTAATAATTTTGTTTTTCACAAATTTTCTTTATTTATCCTCATTTATTTTATTAATATAAATATAAAATACACAAATTTTATCTAAAATAAAATAATGCAAACAGAAAACATGCAATGAAAAAACAGTGTTATTTCAAAACATTATTATTATGAAATGTTAGCTATTAGAGAGTTTAATAAAACAAAATAAATAAATTATTAACTTACTTTGGCATCTTTTTCTTTGGTGATTTTGATTTATTTTCTTTAGATGTTGGTAATTTGTTAGTCTTTCCTTTAGATTCCTTTTTCTCTTTCTTAGGTTTACCTTCTTTTAGACATTTACCTTCATCTAAATCTTTTACGTCATCTCCTTCTTCTGTTTGACTTGATTCTGAAGGTTCTTTACTTTCTTTGGTTGGTTTTGTTTTCCTTTCTTTAGGCTCTTTAGACTTAGTTTTCTTTTGTTTCTTTGGTTTAGGTTCTTTTTCTTCCTGAGAATCATTTTGATCCTTGTCTTTAGCTTTTCTCTTTTTATATCGCTTTGTGACTTTAACTTCTTGTTCCTTACCAACTTCAGATAACTCAAGATTGGAATCATTTTCAGTAATATTCTATACAAAATAAGAAAGTTAACCATTCTTTTAAATACATGTCTAAAAAGAATCATCATAACTTGTAAGATTTCAAGATTAAGATTTTATTTCATATAAATAAAATAAAGTCTGTTTAATGTAAACATGGATATCATTATCAGTCATTTAATATTATTGAAACCAGTATATCCCAAAACATAAGTTAAAATATACTTTTGTTTACTGTAATCAGTTTTTTGTTATTGTTATCATTACCTTTGGGTACATAGACATTTTTAAGATGTCTTTTTGCATTATCAGCCTTAATGTGTGACTAGTAACATATAATAATTGATAATATTTATTATCAGTTATTGTAATCAGCTTCAACTAACATTTAATATTTAAAACACTGAAATGCATGAATTATTAAATGTTAATTCTTTTCAACTGTTTAAAATGTTGGCATTTCTTAGTTCAATTAAAAATGAATTATTATAATTTAGTAATACTAATATACCATTAAGAATACATAACATTAACTTGATATAACATACAGATACAATCAAACAGTCTTAGCACTTAGGATAACAATCATGGAGCTTCTTTCAACAATCTTAGTCAGAATCACATTGAAAGACCTGTGTCAAATTGTTTGCTGTCTCTTTGGAGAGATAGAAGTACAAGTGATTATCATACATTACCAGTTCATAAATACAAAAAACTACAGAAAGCAATTTTAAAAGACAATACACATACAAGCACAAAACATATTATGTTGAGTTGCAAGGTTTTAACACAAACTGACTACTTACATCAACATAGCCAAATAACCAATGTAATACATCAAAAACTTGCAAACACAAATTATGTCTTAAGTAAAAAATAATAAGTTTTACATGGCCAACGATTATTTCATATTAATAAAATAAAAGGACAACTCTTACAAAAAAAAATTTTTGTTTCAGTCATTTCTTTCGTTGTTCGCACCATCAGCAGATGACCAGATGACACAGATGACGCTTTTATCATTTTTGCATAAGAACACCAGATGACGCTTTTATCATTTTTGCATTTTAACTACAAAGGCAATAGCATAAAAAGGAAGGTCGTCTCCGTGAGTTTGTGATTTTATGAACTGCTGATGGTGCGAACAACGAAAGAAATGACTGAAACAAAAATTTTTTTTGTAAGAGTCGTCCTTTTATTTTATTAATACAAATTATGTCACACCCTGCAACCATACTACAAACAAACATCAGATGGTAAAACACACACACACACACACACACACAATATAACTTCAGACAAAAAACTTGCACAAGTAAACTGGAACTATATACTACACACAACAATTAACACCTAACCACTAATTCCAACACTGAATGAACAAAAATTTTAATGCTTGAACGTTTTCGGACGTCTTTTAGAGGCCCTCCTCAGGATGAAAAACACAAAAAAACAGTTCTATCATTTGAAAACTTCTAACCGCCGAATACAGCTGTGTTCCAAATTTTTAAATATTTAAACGATGTACCATACAATATAAAAATCGTTATGTTTACAACATAAAAATAATTATTTTAAAATAACGCTATACATAAATTATTATTATGTTGTTGTAAAAATTAGCGCGATGTAAACGAATTGTTTTCTTTTACAAAGCAGAAAGATGAAAAATAATTACACATACAATTATTGTTGTGCTTTGTGGCAATGTAAATAATACTTCCACAATTGTGCAATCAGAATATAATCAGAGTTAATGCAGTTTCCCTTCACGGTTTCTATATAAATCTCAATAGCCTCCAACGAGCATAACTTGTGTCGGTCAAAGGCCCTATGCAAAAGAGTAGCCTCATCCCAACATGGGGAAACCCCAGGTTTGGTAGCATACTGGGCTAGAGCAGTACTATACTTCTGTTTCAACACATCATATTTGTGGTCCCGTACTCTAGCCTCAAGGGATCTGTACGTAGATCCAATGTACGTTATCCGACGATTGAAACGTTCGTCATTCAAAGGTATGCGGTACACCCCTGGTGCTTTCTTATCATTGGACTTGTCCTTAGCATTAGACAAAAGTTGGAAAATATTTTGTTTTCTCTTATATGTTAAGCGCACGTTCAACTCCTTAGTGATTTTACTAAAAATTTGTTGAAGGGATGGTTCATAAGATAAAACCACCCAGTTGTGCTGTGCATCATTACCCCATGTGTTGGTGGTAGTTATTGTAGACTGCTGGTTGGCAGTTAGCCTGTCTATTAAAGACTGGTGGTACCCGTGTGCCGATGCTAGACATTTGATGTGTTTCAGTTCTCTGTAGATATTGGAAGTTTCAGAGCAGTGGGAATAAGCTCTTGAGACTAGGGCCCGAAAAGCCAATATCTTAAAAGGCCAAGGGTCTGCTGAGTTAGCAGGTAAAAAGAGAGGACATGTTGATTTGCGGTAAACGGTCGTGGTTATATTTTTATTTACTGTATTAATCTGGACATCTAAGTAGTTAACCTCTGTGGGACTTTCCTGGTCTAACTTTAGTGTTAAGCTGTAGGCATTGTTGTTAAAGGCTTCTAACACTTTCTCTGTATCAGGTTTGGTTTTCCATATAATTAAAATATCATCCACGTACCACATGTAGCTAAAGATATTGGATTGTAAGCTTAGTAAGACCTTTTCTTCTAATTTTTGTACGATGAGTTCGCACAGATCCCCAGAGACTGGGCTACCCATTGGTACGCCCCTTTTTTGGATGTAAGTTTGACCATCAAAGTAAAAAAAGGAAGAATAGGATATTAGATGTGTAAGCTCTAATATTTGGGAATGGAATCTCTGGCTGTCAGTATTGGGAAAGAAATCTCTTAGCGCACAAAAACACGGTTCCAAATGAATGGAAGGGAACATCGATACAAAATCGAATACAGTAAGATACTCGTTCCAATTTAACTTTTAAATTATGGAGTTTGGCAAGTAGTGTGTTGGAATCAGACACAGTAAAGCCGTATGCGTCAAGATGATTTTGTAACAAGTGATGGATACGTTTCTCTAACAGAAAGGAGGGAGATCTGGCTTTATTGATCACAGGTCTTAATTTATGCCCAGGTTTATGTGTTTTGGCAAAAGCAAAAAGGCAGGGAGTGTCAGGTGAGCTAACTACTGAATGTTGAAGGCCTAAGATTGTGGCAAGGCCAGTGCATGTGAATCTGCCAACACGACTTTGTAGCCTTGTTGTGTAGGAGGTGTCAGCAGGTTGACATTGAGTGTCAACTATATATTGATGTAATGCGCTGACATAGGTTGCCCTTAGCATGATGACGATTGCCTTGCTCTTATCCGATTTGACCATTGTGTTGTTATTACATTGGAGCCACTTCTTACTGCGTTTGACATAACTCCAGAATTTATGTACATCAGGTTCTGGCTTGTAACTTTCAATTGTCATCAGTGCCTTCATCGAAGATAGTCCTTGCGAGTGTCTGGAAACTCAATATTTGCTCTGGATAGTAATTTCTCCATGCTGGGAATGAAGGAAAACGGATTCAGTGCAGCTGACTGAGGCACAAACATAGGCCCAAATTCGAATGCCTTGCGGAAGTATTCTGGAGGAGATATGTTGTCCCAACATGTTATAATGTTATTGAACTGAGGTTTAGGATGCCACTTTTGTATTTTTAATATACAATTGAGCTTTTTTTCATATTTATGTTGCAAGTTACGCTTGACACTTACTTCTAGATGGATTACTCTAGAGTTCACATGTTGCAGGATGATAAAATCCTGTCTATATAAGTTCTCCTCAAGATTGATGAGTTGTTTCAATTTATGGTACATCAGATGTCAGGTGCGTCAAATAGCTTTTCTGAGGCACAAAAATCGTACTTTAGGCAAAAGGGCTTCACATGCGTACGGAAGTTTTAGACAAAAGATGGACATAGGGAATGCTCCGTTGCAGCGACAATTAATTAAGAACATCAGCTTCTCTCTTATCCTTGTTAGACATAGAATAGCTTTTCTATATAGTTTGGCTGGCATCACCATGAATATATCAGACAAAAAACTCACACAAGTAAACTGGAACTATATACTACACACAACAATTAATACCTAACCACTAATTCCAGCACTGAATGAACAAAAATTTTAATGCTTGAACGTTTTCGGACGTCTTTTAGAGGCCCTCCTCAGGATGAAAAACACAAAAAAACAGTTCTATCATTTGAAAACTTCTAACCGCCGAATACAGCTGTGTTCCAAATTTTTAAATATTTAAACGATGTACCGTACGATATAAAACTCGTTATGTTTACAACATAAAAATAATTATTTTAAAATAACGCTATACATAAGTTATTATTATGTTGTTGCAATAATAATTTATGTATAGCGTTATTTTAAAATAATTATTTTTATGTTGTAAACGTAATGATTTTTATATCGTACGATACATCGTTTAAATATTTAAAAATTTGGAACACAGCTGTATTCGGCGGTTAGAAGTTTTCAAATGATAGAACTGTTTTTTTGTGTTTTTCATCCTGAGGAGGGCCTCTAAAAGACGGCCGAAAACGTTCAAGCATTAAAATTTTTGTTCATTCAGTGCTGGAATTAGCGGTTGGGTGTTAATTGTTGCATATAAAATATAACTTATGGTCATGCCATAATCAAAGATAAGACAATACATTGCAACAGACAAATATCACATCCATTGATAAAAAAAATTGCACACATCATAGACAAAGCTGTTCCAAACAACCACAAAATATATGCATTGAAAAATTAGCAAATACTGACAACTTGACTACAAAATAAAGTGTCTATAGAGATTGGATAATGTACTTATCGTACCATTAGTCTTTTCTGGTATAGATATCAAACCACATACACTATACAAGCCTTAAAACATTAGAAACTTCAGAACAATATATATCGTATATCACATCACAGAAAGTAAGTATATTACTAATACATGTTACATAGGAAATTCCTAAATACATACATAAACTGCATAAAAACATGGAATTATGTCTTTTATTAACTAGGTG